GACAGATGCTGCTAAAAATACATTGATGAAAATAGCTGGGGGAAAATCCAGGTTTTATTGTATTAAAATCACAGTGACAGAGAAGAACTTTAAAAAAAAAAAAGTTATAATCATTTGTCTTATTATTTGGGATATCTAAAAGTGCTTACATGTAATTGTTTTCCTCAGCTATTTTGAAACTTTAGAAATATTTGGGTTTTGATGGTAAAGAGGTGATGAAATATAAAATAATCCATAATATGCAAAGGCATGCAAGGCAGTGATTGAAGTGATTATACCAGGCCATGTCCTTTAAGACACCAGACACAGTGCCTGCATTTTCAAGGAAGCACAAGGAGGATATAAGCAAGATTTTAACTTGAAGGAAAGAACAAAAGAAATGGGAATTTAAGCATGATCACTCTTGGAGCTGTTATATGTATTGTAGATGTAATAGACTAAGCATGGCAGAGAATAAATACTAAGTTTGTTACAGAGAAACAACAGAACAGTTCATCGCTCAGGTGGATATATAATGAATGCTTCAATTAAAAAAACCCAAAATATTTTACTATGCACTCACTAGAATCAGGACCAAATTCAGAGCTCAACTTGCCAGATGGACACTGAATATTTGAGGAGAGAGGAAGCTGATCATTGATAATCACCCTATTACAAGCCAAATCAGGCTATTGGATTTCTTCAGGAATATGAGCTCATTCCAGTGAGGTTCTTAACCCAAAGGTAAGCCCTACAAATGGGCCAGGCAACCCCAGGACTGCTCTGCTACATAAGCCCTATAAGTAGTATGGAATATCCCATTTATCCAGGAAAGATGCAGCATTTCTCCTGTCAGAACAATTACTGTATCCAAAGGCACTGTGGAATGTTCAATTTGGGATTTATTCCATTAGGAAATAGATTATGGCATCAGAAAAATGGCATAGCAATGGCAGCTTCTCGTGGGAAAAATTTCGGTCTCTTTATGGCAAAGACATGTTTGGTAGTTTTTGACAGCAAAAATTGCATTGGCAGCATATCAAAATGTTTGCATGTGTGAAAATGCTCCCATCACAGAATTCTGTTCTCACTTGAACAATCCAAGGGAACCTGAAGGGTTCAATGCTGAAAACAGGTACTGCTGTGAGAGGGTTGTTTGGGATGCAGCAGGAGATCCATGTACTGGCACAAGGTTTTAGGTAACGCTCTGTGAAGACCATTCATCTGGAAAAAAAGGCTGTCTACAAATTCTAATTCCATTTCCAAAGGTCTCATATCAGTTTTCTGATGCCATGACAGTACAAAATCCTCATCAGTTGTCTAAATTTCTGTAATTTTTTTTTGTCATTTATTGTAAGCCTACAGTTCTTTGGAAGGGCTAATTCCAATCAGTCTACAACACATTGCTAGAGTGTACCAACACTTGTCTAAACATGAGATATTTTCATCTGAAATTTGAGGTTTTCTGGTTTAAAGTTTTTCAAACACACCACACAAAACACTAATTTTCATTTTTTTCCTGCTTCTGCTCCTATGCAGAAAACCCAGCACAAAAGCACGTGAAAAGTGCCCAGAGATTCAGTCAGGAGTTTGTGCAGTCAGGGACTTATGTCACACAGTCACAGGTTTAGTCACAGGTCTAACACAGAAAACATGACATGATTTTCATGTAGCATTAACTGCTTATATTTTTTTATATAACTCTGTTATTTCTCTTGAGAGAGGATAAAGGTTTTTGCACCTGGCATCCAAGTGCTCAGCATGCCTTGATTACAACTTGAGAGGGCATGATTGCCTGGATTCGGATTTTCACAAATCCCAGGAACCCAAGGCACTAAACCTATAAACCCCACCCAGTAATGGACATTTGAGCTCAGAAAGGGACAGAAGAAAAGCATCAGGAGAGATGGAAAATAAAGATGGCTAAGAAATGATCTACAGATATTCAGTGAGATGCATGATGGCATTTAAATTTACATTTTTTACATTATTTACTTCAGAAAGGCACCACAGCCTCTACAGTTTTAGGTATCTTGTCTACAGAAAGAATATGGAAATTCATAATATGGAAATTAATATGGAAAAAATAATATGGAAATTAATATGGAAATTCAACAAACCAAGCAAATTAAGAACACCAGTGCACCATTTCAAGGCACAGATTCTGCTGTGAGCACAGCATAACTTCTATATATGTAATAAAATTTTCTGAGAAGCGTTCTGGGTTTTTGTTTTTGGCTTTTCTTTTTTTTGTGTGTGTGTGGTTCCTGATGAAGATACCTGTTGTGTCACTTAGTTAAACACATTTCTCAACAACGCGGCCAATCATAATATTTGCAGTGCATGTCAGCAGCACAGTTAATTACTGACTATCATGGGAACTTGCCTTAGGGTAATCTGGAAGGTTTGAACAACAGAATCAGCCTGTGTGCAACAAGCTAAATTGATTAATGGTTATGCTTATGTTCTACACAGGAAGGCAACATTCCAAATCACAGACATGTTATGTATTCTTTGGCAGGAGGGACAGAAAGAGGACACTGCAGCTTTTTCTCCTGGCAGGTGCCAAACTGCACTGTTGGCACGCCAATGTCACCACAGTCAGCGTCATCGTTACGTGGTGGCCAAATGCCACACAGTTGCCTAAAGCACAAGGGAACCCAAAAGGGCAATATCATTTTGAAGGAAGGGGAGGTATTAAAAATTATTTAAATAAAGAAAAGTGCTAATTCTAGTAAGTAGAAATTGGGTTTCTACAGGAGGCTTCCTGAGAAAATGCAGTCCCGGTGTTGTATTCACATGTAGACAGCATTTCTTCAGCAACCATCAAGTTTCTGCTGCCTTGAAGAATTAATTTGTCAGGAATTAATTAATCTGGGAGGAAACTGAGGCTGAGGACACAGTCAGGAAGATGTCAAGGATTTTGGCCACCAGTGTGAGGGAGTGTTTTTTTGTTCCAAGCTTTACTGTGTTGAGCATTGATCTGATCTCCAGAAAGGAAAGGAGAGTTTGTTACAGGCATTTCCTTACAGTTCCACACCACAGCAGCTGGGTTATGGACAGCCCAGACACTCAGTAATACAAAAAAGGAGAAATTTCACTTGTGAATTCAGGGTTTTTTAGAGATCTTGATGTCTTTCAACAAGAATAATCACTCATGCTCATCTGGCAGATATATTCAAGACAAAGTCATGGTCAAGTTCATTGTTTAAGTGGCATAACTAAATAAAGACTTACTGAAGATCTATGATGTTTAAAGGACATAAAACTCACCTCCGCCAAATTATACCCTGATTTTGACTCTGACATGAGTATTTGCTTCCTGTGGGAGATCATGTTCTAACATCAACTGTGCACTGCATCCCTGACTGAGCAACTTTGATAGACAAGGATGGCATGCATAGTTGGAATTTCATTATTGGATACTGGAGGATTAAATCAGAAAAATCTCTTCAGATTTTTTAATTTCAAGATATTTCAGGTAGTTGTTTTAAGAGGATTTTCACATTTAACTGGTCCAAACACCTTAAAAACTGCATAAAACTGAGTGGCAATGATGTAACAAAATTGAACTTATTTTTCTAAACCTCGTTACATAGAAAGTTTCCTCACTCCTCCTCAGCTCAGGACTCATTTTGCCATTGTCTGTGAGTAGGAGCAGGAGTGGGTCTTAAATACGTAACAGATTGGAAGGACAAGGGTAATTAACAACATGAGCTCAGTATTTAAACATGAAGAGAAATGCTAAGATCTTTTTTACTTTGTCATGCTGTGCCAAGCAAACCACCTCACATTTAGGATGCTTAATTCAATTTGTGTTACACTGCTGATGATTATGAAATGCATTTTGAAGAGATTTGTTTTATCTTCTCCAGAAAACACACAGAGACTCATTTGCTACAAGAAAATAGAGATATAAGTAGAGCCATACTTTGTGAATGCTAGAAGATAAAAACACACCTAAAGAAATGGAAAATATAGGATATATTTAAGCAGTTTTAAGAATATAGGTGCAGTGTCATCTAGCAAAACAGTGTCATCATGCTTCTAGGTTGGAACAGATAGAATAAAAAAATGCAAACAGCATTTCCGTTTTAATTGACATTTCATGTGTTGGTTTTAAACCCCTGTGCAGCACACACATTCATCTTCCTATTAGTAATGGCCTAAACAGGGCTTTACTTTCTTACAATTTCAAGTAAAAACTGAATTTGTCTAGAAATCCTGGCAGGAGAGTGCCAGGAGTCAGAACTCCTGTGCTCTATTAAAAAGAGCCAAGACAGAACAAATTTGCTGAATATTCAAGTACAAACACATCAAGCACTCTTTATAGTGTTCTTGGGATCAGTCCTAGCTCCTTCTCTCACCTGACCTTCAAACTGATCTGTGTGCCAAAGAATAGGACCAGTATAAATTTACTGCCCAACAATATTAAATGGGTCTTTTTTTCCCATCACACGTCAATGGTCCTTTCTACAGCCCTGCAAAATGACATTTTGCCCTTCCAGAAGTGCTCCAAAGCACAAGGACTCAAAGTGCCCTTCTGGGCTTTGCTGACCTAAGGGATTTCTCTTTCTAGCAAAAGTTCCTCACCAAAATACTTTGGAACCTTTATACACACAACAAATCTTTGGGAGATTTAATAGATACTTAATTTTATGTTCCCATCCATAAACAGTCAATGTAGGAATCAAGATTTATTTATCAACATAGTTTCAGATTTCTATTTTACACCATATCTCTGGAATTTCAAATTAATAGGAATAATAGGGGCAGTAAATCCATCCTTTCATTTTTTTAAAGTCATTGACCTGTCTTCTGGATCTAAATTCCACATTCATATTACTTTCTTCTTATCCACTGTAAAGTTATTGAAATAGCTTAAGTGATATAATGAAGGTACCATTCAGCAGATTATTTACATTTTAATTGCACAAAGAACACACTGGCAAAGTAATTGGAAATCAAAACAATTTGAAAGTAACTTGTTGAGATACACACTTTATATTTGTTCTATTTACCTTCATTTTTCTTGATGGTGAAATTTGGGTTGTTGACCATTTCAGGAAGAAGGCTGTACAGGAAATAATGCCCATTTTTAGGATCATCCTTGTCAACAGCACTGACAATCTGAATTACCTGCAACATAAATGGGCTCATTAAGTTTTCACACTCCTGATAAGCAGACAGTGCTGAAAAGAAATTGTATGTATTGGACATATTTCATTTCTCTCCATGTCAGATTTAAAAAGAAAATTTCTAATTCTGCAAGGCTTTTGTGGACCTTAGACTGAAAACCTTGGGAAGAGGAGCTGTATCTGCCCCTTTTAAAATGTTTCCAGAACAAAGAGCCAGCAAATAAGGAGAGACAGGTAAGAGAGACCAGCAGATACTGCTGCTGATTTAGACAAGTAATAAATTATTATTCAACAAAAAAAGGAAAATTGTGCTTCAGAAACACTCATATTGCCTATGGCAAGCTTTCATTTCCATGACCACCCTTGTCACTGGACTTGGATATATAATATACCTTTAATCCTTTCTCCTTCCCCCACCCCATATTTCACTTCATAGACTAGTTATTATTTTTAAAATTAATTTGGATGTGAAATTTTGGATGAGAAAAAATCAAAAATTAAAAAAAAAATATATATAGAGGGTTGTATTTTTTCCCCTCAATTCTAATAATACCTCAGTTATTCCTGCACTAGGAAGATATGCTTGTGTGTTTTTTAATAACATCATTATTAATTAATGATTCATAGAATAATGCAAGGTAATTAGGTGAGAAGAGAGTTTTGGATAGTTCAGATAACTTTGAATAATTAAATAACTTTGTATGAAGTACCTCATATGATTTACATGACCAACTGCAGTGTCTGAAGTGGATTTACCTCTATTTTTAATTTCTACCTTTTACATTACCCAGGTCCTACAGCTGATCATCTTCAAATCATACAAAGTTGCACAGGACTATGAAAGAAATAAACACTATTTTTAAATAACCAAGTTTGGGTTTTTTTGTTTGATATTTTTGGTTTCTTTGTGATTGTTTTGTTTTGATTTGTTGGGAATTTTAAAATATTTGATGCATTTGATTTTGATTCCAAAGGTTCTCCAGAGAAGCAGAAACAAAACCAGCCATGGATCCAGATCCCACCCTCAGATCTCACTTTCAAGGCTAGTTAGCTCATGCTAGATGAGGTTCATAAGAAATTTAATTAGAATTATTGACCTTTTCCATGTCCATTGAATCCAATAACAATTGTCTTATGTATTTATTTGCAATGTCTAAATCAAAGCACCAATAATTTCTTGCACAATTAAATTCAAATTAGGAATCACTAAGAAATTTAAAGTATAGAGTGAAAAATGGAAGCAGAGGTTGATGCTATCCAAATTCATAGACTTTTATTTTAAAATTTCCATATTTCCCTAAGAAAATGACAATAACTAACATTTTATTCTGGTTTGACCACAAGGACTATCAGTCTGTATGTGTTATATACATGACAATAGTCCAAATCTTATTTATGTTGTTCAGGAGTCAAAGAAAAAACAAAATCTTACTAGATAACTACAAGGATCAACACCAAAACATAAATATTTTAAATTATGTATGTAAAAAAATTTTTGAGCAAGTAGTGATATCTGTAGCACAACCCAACATAGGAAGCAATGTGAAACAATTAATTCCTAGCCTAATCATTAGCCTAATCATATCATATTCTGGATAGGTCAGCTTTATTATTATTATTTTTATCAAAAATCTACCAAAAAACAAAACAAAACAAAAAAGATTCCTTAAATCCCTCATAAATAGGGGTGGTTTTTTTGTTTTGTTTTTTTTTTTTTTTTGTGGGTTTTTCTTGGTGGCTTTTTTTGTGTTGGGTTTTTTTAGGGGTTTTTTTGGTTTTGTTTGTTTGGGTTTTTTTTTGGATAACTGCATCTATCAAGGTGGAAACCTTGGCAGGATTCCAAACAAATGTATTAGAAGAGATGGACTAAAAAAATAGGCCAAGCTCAGCTTTTGCTTTTTTTACTTTATGAGGTAGATCTTCAATTTAATAGCTGAATAACAGATCCTAAAGTGGGAAAAATATAAAGAGTGGAAAAATATCTAAGTAGCTTCTGTCTGTCCCAATGCAGAGCTGGAGCCATTTGCAGATGGGAAGTATTTTCAGCTTTCTCTTTGCAGAGGAGTCAGGCACTAAAGCACCCACTGTGATGCGCCCAGGGCTGGAGCAGGTACAGGTAATTCATCATCACAGGGAAGTGCAGTTTGGGCTGGGATCCTGAACAAGCAGATATATTTAGACAGATATATATTTTATGGCTGTTCAATTTTTCAAACAGGTAGAATGGGAAAGCAATAGGGAAAAAGGATTATGACACAGTGAAATCTGGAAGGGCAAGTGCACATAACAGCTGCAGTTTGTCAGATGGTTATAATATTTTGTATGTACTGGTATTCCATCCATTCCCTACATTGTGAGAAGATCCTTTTACTGAAAATGCAAGAAAAATTATATGCAAAAGACAGGCTTAGTGCAATACTACATTTGTTGTGTTATACGCACATATCATGGAATTAAGAGTGAGTTCCCATAGCAACCTTATTTCTTTGTGTGTTTGCATTAAGATAAGGTCTTAAGAAAAAAACCCACAACAGAAAACATAATATATATGCAGTGATATTAAGTTGTGGTATCTTTTACTCCACAGGGGTCAGAAAAGTCCACTAATTCTCATTTCCAAGTTTTTATTAGTGTGTTGATAGGCACATTTTACTACTCTGTGTTGTGTGCTCACACAATGGAATACTACTGAGGTAATTCTCCAACTCTTAATTTGTGGTTCACAACATGGTTGAGAATCACAAAATCACAGAGTCACAGAATCGCTGAGGCTGGAAAAGCCCTGCAAGGCCATGGAGTCCCAGCCGTGCCCAATGCCCACCTTGTCCCCAGCCCAGAGCTCTGAGTGCCACCTCCAGCCCTTCCTGGGACACCTCCAGGGATGGGCACTCCAGACCTCCCTGGGCAGCCCTGCCAAGGCCTGAGCACCCTTTCCATGGGGAAATTCCTGCTGGTGTCCACCTGAGGCTGCCCTGGCCCAGCTGAGGCCGTTCCCTCTGCTCCTGTCCCTGTTCCTGGAGCACAGCCCGACCCCCCGGCTGTCCCCTCCTGGCAGGAGCTGTGCAGAGCCAGAAGGGCCCTGAGCCTCCTTTGCTCCAGGCTGAGCCCCTGCCCAGCTCCCTCAGCCCCTCCTGGGCTCTCTTGTTGTGTGGGACCCAAAACTTCCCCCAGTGCTGGAGGTCCCTCAGTAGGGCCAGCACAGGGGATGGACTCTGCCTTAGTCCTGTGGCCACACCATGGCTGGCACAGCCCAGGTGCCACTGGCCTCTTACCCACTACAGATGTCTTTCCTTTCCTGGTAATGACAGGCACCCCAAAAATGTTCCATTATAGAGAAATTGGTCAATATTTGTCATAAATAAAACAAGAACTGACTTTTTTCACTACATATCCAGTGAAAGTTAATAACCCTTTGGCTGCTCAGTCTTGAAAGTTCTGAAATTCTTACATGTAAAATTCCAACTTTGATGTTGTATTAATACTTCATGCATGCATTTGATTCTGTACATACATTTAGCAGAAACTTAGCAAATCAGCATATTTTGTTTAGCAGACAGCACTGGATTGTAATGAATAGTTAAATGGTCCCCTAGGACAACCTGAGTTTCTAATTTGTAGGTTTGTATTGCAGTTCTACAAAGCCACATGTGCCTGAAATAATTTGTACAAGGATAAATAGAAAAGCAGAGTTATTTTCAACACATCATAACTAGCTACGTGCAATTTTAGTACATGGTACTGTTTAAAACACTGTTCCTGTGATGCAACTCGTTAACCTCATCTAGAATGGGTCCTCATCACTAATAAACAATTTTCTGATTTAAATAAGACTTATTTTCCAACTCTGGAAAAGCTTTTGCAGTCCCATTGCTGTTCATGGTTATTTCTGCATATTTTGCAGACTCAAAACACCAGTAAGAGTAGAGTCACTACAGAGCAATTTTAACTTTCTCTGAAGAGTCAAATGCAGTAAAGGGATGGCTCTAGCTGAAGAGGCAAAGATCTACCTGAAGGTTTCACCCATTAGAAAGAAAAACAATCTAGTAGGAGAAGTGAATAAAATAGAGACAAACTGTGGGAAGCTGGAGGAGCACTGTCCTCAGTTTTATATTGCTCCAGTTTAAAGCTGGTTTCAGCTCTCATATATCGCTGTCTGTACTGCTCAAGTGAAAATTTTGTAGCTTTGTTTCCAGCAAATAGCACTTCCCTGGAAAAGTCTGAGAATGGACTGGAGAATAGTGAGTGAGGCACTTTTGTTACTCAACATTATACAAGTTCTGTTCTAGGTCTACAGGAAAATAATTTTACTGTGCTGGAGAACAACCAACAGCACAACTATAGTCAGCAAACCATTAATGTTCTGGATTTAGTAACTGGAATTTTGCAAAAAAAAAAAAAAAAAAAAAAAAAAAAAAAAAAAAAAAAGAAAAAAAAAAAAAAAAAAAAAAAAAAAAAAAAAAAAGGGATAATAGGAAAAGGCAAGAACTGATTTGTGGCTAACTTAGAGGTACTGTAAGAGTACATTCAAATTTTTGGGGTTTGTTTTTTTTTTTTTTTTTCCCCTTCCTAAAACTGACATAAAACATTTCTGGCAATTCTCTGTTGTGTGTAAAAATGTGAAAAGAGCACAGAAATACATGCATAAAAATTAGATTTCCTTCTTCCTCCCTTTCCTCTCCTATCAGCCTGTGGTACCTTTACTCAGAGGTAGGTCAAAACAAGGAAAATGCATCTGGCAGCATTACACATCAAGAGTTTTTAATCCACTGTGTCACCTCACCAGCAGCTGTATTTGCTACTGCAATTATATCAGAACCCAAAACAGAATACTTAGAAAGTGAACTGGAATAGATGTTGCAATGTATATAGTAGCTGCACATAAGATTTTACCAATAGTTCAAATATAATTTCCTTTATGGTAAATTAAATTTGATTTAAACTTAGATTTAAATGGAACTGCAAATGTCAACAGATGGGAATACCTTAAGACAATTGTACCTTTCCTGCACATGTAACATTTGAGTTTAAGCTTTGGACAACCATCCAAATTAGGCTTTTGCTACTAGTAGTATCTTTCTCATATCACCTATTTCATAATTGAGATATATGTAGTTTCTTTAATTCTACATCCTGACTTATTAATAGGATTTCTACCAAAACTTGAATATAGAAATAAGCATATGAAAATACAATAAGGCAGTGGAGTTACAGAAATCTTTACAGGAGCTGATGATTTTTGAATGACAACTTCAATTCAGAACCTAACCTTGGTGATTATTCTGGACTGGTTACTGTTCCAGTAGTGTTATTTGTTTAAACACTGAATAAATTGCAGGATCAGTGCCACCTCATCCATGCTGGCAGCCAAATATTTAATAACCATCTGTAAAGTTCACAAGAGGATTCATACTCAAGAGTGACATCTGCCATCACATCAAGAGTGTAAGAAGTAATGGTAGATAAAGAATATTGTGCTTTAATGAAAGTTTTCTGTAAGTGCTTAAACAAAAGCCTCTTTTACCTGCTGACTCTTAATAATCTCATTTATTGTTTTATTCCAAAATGAAATGTGAAATTTCTCACCATCTCTTAAACCACCTGAAATTCAATAGGAATACCTAGATTAATCCAGTCAGAAAGCACTGTACAACAGAACTTTCTGATTTTAGGGAAACTCACTGAATCCTGCATATAGGAATAGTCATTAAGATTTAATATATCCTGGAAAATGCAGCTACTCAGCATCAGAAATCCACCCTGAGCTAAACAGAAATCCACTCTGAGCTAGAAGAGCTGAATTGCCAACAGGAACATGACTGTCTGCTCATAAGGGCACATCTCTTCAGTGGATAGAGAGAATTCTCATTCCTTAAGTGGCACATTTTTGACACCGTTTTACTAAACAAAAAGGGGTTCTAGAAGTCAAATCATCCTCTGTAACAATACAATCCTGTATGCAGAGCTGGGTTGTCATACAGTGCTATAGAGGTTGTCATTTAATGCTACTAAAAAGAAAATAACTTCTAACTCTACTGTCAGGTAACCTTCTTTAGAGAACAGTGAATTTAATGTCTAACACCCACATGAGACACAGGAATAGTTGGATTAACAAGCCATGTCAAGCTGTCAGCTGCTGTTTATTTACATAAAATGTCACAATCTAGAAATAAATTGCAAAGTTTAAAAACATTGAATTGTTGTAACACCCAATGTTTCTTTTGCTGGACAAAAGTTACATCTCATTTACACTTCATTACTTTCTAAATGTCTGTGCATATTCCTGAATCTTCACCTTGTCATTTAGGTGGCATATGAGATATTCTTCCTTCTCTGCTTCACTCTGCTTCATTTCTTTGAAAAAGACTAAACAGTTTAAATCCTGCTTCTGGCATGTTGCTGTTTACCTCACCTTGGCAAGTATTGTGTGCATTTCTTCATCAAGCTTTTCTTCATTAAATGAAGGAGGTAATAACATTTTCAATATTTTTTTAATATAATGAAAACTTGAACCCTTCTCCAACACCATCTTCAAACACAATCACAATTTACTTCACTTTCCATCAAGTTCTGGTTTGCTGTCTTATTTTTTTTCCCCAACTATCATAGAAAAGTAAGAATTGAATAGAGATTATAACAGATAAGGTCAAAGGGAAATGGGTTTAATGTTTTAACTGTTTAGTCTAAATTATACCTGGGAGCAACCGCAATGTAAGTCAATAACTGAACTGGAATTCAGGTTGGATTCTATTTTCACCTACTAACGCACATGAACTTAAGTGCTAAGCTCCATCACACAGAGTGTGACATTGGGAGACATTTGGACATTAAAGACACTCAGGATTTTTTCAGGATATTATCCCAAAGTAGTCACCTTTTATTTAAAACTATACTTAAGGGAAAAAAAGTTTATTTAATTATAGAAGACATTCCACAGAAAGTGATCGTGGGTTTATCTTAAGTTAATGCTAAGAGCTAAGAACACATGGGCACCCATTTTGTAATAAAGATGACATCAGGTGACAGGGAGAAACTCCAGCCCCACCTCACACTGTGGCAAGCACATTTATCTCACTCTCGGGATTTTTCATAGAGGTGCACAGAGAGAAATGAAAGAGGAAACAATTTCTATTTCTGCTCCTTATTTTTCCTATGTGGAATGTGTTTGGAGAATTGTTTACCTGTAGTGAGTGCTTGATTGGATTCTGGTGAGGATTGTTTGAGCCTGATGGCCAATCCAACCCACCTGGGGCTGGACTCTAGAGAGGGTCACGAGTTGTAGGAGAGTCAGAGAAAGTAGTATGTAGTTTTAGTATCCTCCTTTTATATGGCATATTAATGTTCTTCCCCACAGCTATAATAAAGAAATAATTCAGCCTTCTGAATTGAGTCAAGCCATTGGCATTTCTTCCCATTGGGTTCACCTGCATTTTCAATATCACACCATATAAAACCTGGGATACTCACTTGTCCAGGCTTGCCATTCTCACACAGGAAGGCCTCGTGCTCTGATGCAAACTCAGGGGCGTTGTCATTCACATCGAGGACCTTGATAGCAACAGGCACCCGGGACACCTGGCTATGGTTCCCTAAGGAAAGAAACCAAAGTACCCAAGGTAAGCATATTTAATTGGGACTTAAATACAGCAGTGCTGCACTGTGACCGTGCTCTTCCTGTCTCCTGCCCTCGCTTAATTGGGCTGCCTCATCTGCAACAGATCGTGGAGCTGGAGTGCCAGCTGAAGAGGGATGGCCAGGGCTTTGTGGCTGAAAAGAATAAATAGATCCCTGCTGCAAACAGCATTTGTTGGAGGTGAGCTCAATGAAGACCTTTCTTGGTCTAAATTGGTAAGATTTTTCTTTGATGAAGTTTGTATTGTTTTATTGATAAAGTCCATTATATATGGAAAAGGGAAGGCTGCAAGCAGCAGAGATTTATTTCTTTGTTTATCTTTGGCAGAGAACAGCACATTTTACTCCATTAATTGTTTTGACTGCATATCTATTATTTCTTCATTGCAGTTAAAGTACTGACCCACACTGGGAAAAAGATGGATGGGAGACTGACAGGGGTGAAACTAGACAGTAATTTGGACTATTAAAGCACTTTGATCATCTACCACTGACCAAAACAGTGACCTGTTAACTTCTTTTTTCACTGAAGTAACAACTCATTATTTATAATATAGAGCTATTTTGCATAAAATTGCTTATCACTGTGAAGAGTAGAATGAGTTGTAAGGCAAGAAAAGCTAAATCAACAGTTTGCATCTACTTTGAATAGCCTTCAGAGGCAGCTGCCTGTGTCTTTCCCTCAATTCAGCATTGTTAATTTACTCAGAGACTACTTATAAATATTTTAAATTATTTTTCCCCAAGGAGCAAGCCCATTAATTCAGTTTAAACTGAGGTCACCAGCTGATTTGGAGAGTTTGATAAACTGTTCCACAGCACAAGCACACCTCCACAGGTACCTCAACCCCAGTGTCAAAGTCCATCTCCCAGTGAATATTATTTTCTAATCATTTTCTACCTCATTTGTATCCTCAGTAATGACAAATCTCAATATTCAGTGCACTTCTTGGTACAAATGACTACAAAGTATAAGAAGATCAGGCTCCACCAGTGCTCAGGGACCAACTGGTGGCAGCTCTACAAATGACAGAAATGAATAAAGGCAGAATCACCATATACACAGTGGGTTTTGTGGTTTCCATCAGGGTTAATTCTGTTGTGACCCAATCAAATCCGATATCTTACAGCCCTTATTCCTCCTTGTGTGCTAAAGATATCCACAAGATGGGAGGCTCCACCCAGAAATCTAAATGTGCAAATGTCAATTGTTCTACTGACATTGAAATGGCATAAAAATAACAACTTTAAAAACACAAACTCAAATATACCAGTGCTATAAAAGGCTTTATATTTCTGGGATTGTTTGAAATATCAAAATTCCTCCTGGACAGGACATGGAAGATCACCACACATCAGAATGTAAATGTTTTCCATCTTAAGGAGCCAAAGCTTTAATATGAAAAGAAGCATATTACACAAGAAAAAGAAGCACTCAACAAAATATTATATGAACAATATTTATGTTACTTTGCATCTTATGATCTTGCTTACTAGCAGGTGAGGGGAACACTTATGCCATGAAATAATAATGTATTTGAAACCAAATAAAACCTAATATGCAAATCATGAATTCCAAACATTTTAAACACTTTTTAAATCTTCACTTAATAAAAATACAGACAATTAATCTCAAGCTTATCAGAATTCTCAGCACTAGTGTCATATTTAAACACTAAAGATTTACTTTTATCTAAATTAATGAAATGATGGCAGTTCAAATTTTAAAGACATTACAGAGAAATGTAATTAATTAGATAAGCTTCTAAAGAAATTATTCATGTCCCTTGTGACTGCCCCCAAAATGTTTGTCTTTCATCAGAAATACAAACATTAAATTTAAAGATATTATAATTAGAAACTTGATGAGAATTCATTTAAAAAATTAATTTACTAAACACAAGAGAGACCCAGTTGGTTTGGAAATCTCCAAACAAGGGGATATCCACTGTCTTTTAGGCTTCCTGTAGCTGTGATGAAATTTGTTGTTGAGAAAGAGAGAGATGGGAGAGGGAAATGTATCTACAGCTTGTGCTGTCCACCACTCTGAATACACTTCATTATTTTGTCATCCCAAACTTGCCAGGGAAATTCCATTTTGTGCTAAGTGTTTTCCTGCACCCTGAGCACACCTATTCAAACACATTAATGAGTCCTCACTAAGCAAGCGCAGGTTGAAAACGCTGTCAGGATGGAAGAGTTCCATCTGTTCACCTCCATACGTTGCATGTCTGCAGGCTCTCGGTGCTAAACACGTACAGAGGATGGCCAAGCCTAAACCCAGATCTGCTGGCAGGGCCCCAAATGTTTGGGCTGGGAGTAGGAAGGGATTGGAGTACATCCAGACTGGTCACAACATGCCCCAACTGCATGGTCACTGCCCTTCAGGGTGTTGGGTGTCTCACTGGTTACTATTCAACCTTCAGAACTTTTCCTCATTTGTATGAATGGACAGTCAGTTCTTCCTAAACTAAGAACAAAACTGAGTTTAATTACTGCGTGAGTTTATGTTTCATTTGGGTGTTTGCCCAATATACCCCTCAGTTAGTAGATTTAAGGGAGACTGAATCTTCTTGCATGCACCATGTAGACAGCTAGACTGACTGCTTAACTTCCAATCTGTTATTTTATGCAAAATCATAGAAAAAGGTGAAGTCAGAGACTCTTTAATGAATTAAACAGATTTTTAAAAGCTTTAGCACCATTATTTATTGTGATGCACAGTTTAAAAAGACCTACGTAGAATTTTGCAATATAAAATGTCATTACGGCTGTCACTTGAGAAACATCAGCTTTGAAAATTTAACACTCTGAGATGCAAAACTGAAAAATATTGAGAAAACTTCTACTAGTCTAGTTAAATAAAAGTCTTTTCAAGCTAGGACTGCACAGAAGGGCTTGGCCATCTGAGGACGCCACTCTGTGTCTAGATGAGCACAGACCATTTCTGAACTCCAGCAGGGAGATCCAGATGAGCACAGAATACACACACAGAAAGGAGCATCCAGACAGATCCGAGGAAAGGAAGAATCAATGCAGCATAACTAGTGGAACTTATTTTGGGTTGATAAATAAATTTCCAAAAATTATGGAAAATCCACTTGGGATTAGAAATCCATATTGAAAGGTTTGCAAGGGTCATAAGGACCTAAAAAGCTCTTCGGTTTTCTCCCCAGTTCACAAGACTCTACTAGAACATTAAATGCTTGAAATGCCCAACTTGGTGGTACTTCTCTGAGTAACCCACTGAAACTGACTCAGGGTTTAAAAACACTGTAGAATTTGGTATCAAAATGATGAGGCAGATCAAATAACCAAAGTCAAATTAAAGCAAACAAACAAAAAGCCAAACATAACCACTTGTTATTGGGATCAACACTTTTCATCCTTCCTGAAAAAAGTCCTACATAACTGTGCAGTATTGTAAGAAATTTGTATTACAAAGCACTGAGTGATATCAACATTGTTACTACACACAGCAAGAGTTTCTAGGAGTAACTAGAGCTTATAAATATAATTTTTGGTCCTGTACCACAACTAACAAAATAAAATACAGCTTTTCAAATCCCATAAAAGCTTAAAGAATTCATAAACTTGCTTAAAATATGTTCTCCATTTTCCCTTGACTGATAAAATGCTTTTTGAGATAAAGAGAATTATTGTGGCCCAAAATGAAGTTTGTAATTTATTTAAATTGAAGAAATCCAGTTTAGTTCAGTTTTCCTTTAGGTAATTAAATAATTCAAAATCACTTCAACATTCTCTATAAAAAATCATTAGCTGTCTTGCATTTTACCTAAAATTTATTTATATGAATAGAAAGTAGATTCCTAGAAAATAACTCATTTATTATTATTATTATCATCATCACCACCACCCCCACCACTTGATTTGGAAATGGTTATTTCATGCTTCTCTTATTCAAGGAAATTTCTACAATAATAATATTTTAAATCAGAAGTAAAGGAAGACCTAGTTCTAACAAAGAAATGAAAACAAAATCTGAATCAGTGACTTAATAAAAAACAACAGCACTTGGTTTACATCCCTTATGTTTCAAACTTATTAAGTTGTATTTTAACAGCTCCAGTCCCCCTGACTTTATCAAAGTTTTATCTGATGACTTCATTAAGATAATCCTCAGGATAAGTTTTTTCTTCTGTTACAGTTTATGTTGTTGTTTTCTTTAGGCAATCCTTTACTTCTAGAATGCCAGAGCTTATAACAATCTTTCTGTCATATAAAACTGACAAACCTGACTTAAAGAATCCTTAGATACACAGATGCTATTGTGAAACAGAGGTTTTATTTATGTTGAAGCTTAACTCTAGAAATCACATAGTGCAGCAAATACTGGGCTCGTTTGTCTGCAGCGTTGGGTAATGATCTGATTCAAGAGAGGCTGCGTGCCTGAAACCCTCTCCAACATTGTCAGGAAGACAGCAGTAATTGCCAGCATTTCTCTTAAAAATACCAGAACACAAGCTATTTCTGAGCTAGGACAAAATTCAGACAACAAGCTAAAAACCCAGACAGAACTGTTCAGCAGGAAGATTTAGATTCCCCATTGAAATGATTGTCTTTTTAAAGGATGAGAAGTCGTGGATTATTGAAATAGCAATATAAACATATCAGTACTTAGTACTTACAATTCCTGTATGAAGTGCTAAGACAAGAAACAAACACGGCCTCCTAATTATTATTCCATTTGTATTTCTTTAGCACATGGAACTCGCCCGAGCAGCACAGATTGAGGCGAGTGTCTGTGTATACATGTGTGTGGGAGGGGCACAGAAGGGAAAGGATGTGGAACATATTTCTCAGGTTTGTTCCTTCAGTCATTCTTTGGGAGAAAAATAATAACAGAATCGAGAAGTTTTGTCTTCTTTCTCCAGCTCCCTGGGTTTATTTTGCTGTGGGCTCCAGAAGGATGAATGAGGCAAGAGCAAAGCTTTGT